TTTTGGAGTGAGGGGTGCTCCGCACAGGGGCAGAAAATAGCAGGATGGGAGCCGTAGTTATATTGGTAGCTAAAAGAGAGGAAAAATTATCAAGCGTCTGTTTAAAAATGTAAGATCTGATCACTGCCCTAAAAGAAATTGTTACTGCAGAAATTCTTTCCTGGATTTTTGTTTACTCATTTTGGGAGCACTCCAAGGGTATGTCTACAGTGCAGGACAAAGTCGAATTAAGATATGCAACTTCTGCTACATTAATTGCGTAGCTGATGTTGAAGAAGCTTAACTCAGCTTTTGGCATTGTCTACACAGCAGGAAGTCGAAGGAAGAGCACTCTTCCTTCAATTTCCCTTACTCCTCATGAAACCATGGTTACCAGCATCAACCAGAGTGCCACTCTCATGTTGAATTAACTATCTTAACTAGACTGCTAATTTGAACCCGGGAATATTGACTGCGTTGATCTTCCTCTATAGTGTAGACATACCCTAAAGTAGGGGTAGAGAACCTTTTTTGGGTTGGGGGCTGCTGATACACAGAAAAATCATTTGGGAGCCACACACGAGAAACCAGACAACCCACCTAAATCCTCACTGACGTGGCCCCCAAGTGAGAAGGGGAAAAACACTCCCCAGATTCCTCTCACACACCAGAGCCTAAGGGAGCCCAGGCTAGTAGATTCTTTGTGCTCCAGCTCTGCTGGCTCCCCAGTGTCCTAAGCCTTGGGGGACTAGATCCAGGTAAGCTGGGGGCCACGGGCCTGAGGTTCCCCACCCCTGCTCTAAAGGCTTGTGTGAAGGCATGTGCTTTTAAAGACCAGTTTCACTGTGACAACTAACATTTAAAATCCTGAAACAAAACCGTTGGTGCATGTTGGATGCAGACATTCACTAGTACAGTACTTCTTTATAAAGCAAGTATAGTTTTCCTGTTTGTGCTAAACATTAAAATAATGGGAGATGATCTAATATTTCTGCCTGAAAGTATGCTCCTTCCATGTAATTGAGAAGAAAGAGATGTAGTCTATTTATACCACCAAACAACTGGAGCCCAACTACCTCCTAAATTTTAATAGCTTTTACAGTGATTATTTTTTGATGTTGGGCAATTCACTTTCAGTTTCCTCATGTGCAAAGAGGGGGCAGTAGTACTTACCTATTTTGTATGCCCTGGCGAGAGTTATTTAAGATTTGTAAAATCCTTTTGAAATGGAACAAGCTAAGTATTAAAATATTAATGGAATAATTCTGAGACCTCTGTTCTTAATTATTGCTGTGTGCACTGGTTTTCTTTGGTTAAACTTTTTAATAAGTTTTTCAGTTAATAGCAAAGATGAAACTAATTGAGAATCTGATTTGAACCAGGTACTTGATAGCATTTTGAAAGCTTTCAGTATTGCATGTAATACTTCTGTGTTCAGGGATAAAAATCTTCTAATGTTTTTCCAAAGCACCATGTGAAGCATTGTCTTGGTAAAATTCAGTTGCCAGAATAAGGGAAACAGTTTAATTTACTCTGATCTATCTTTGGCTATGTCTATAGAGCTGCATTATTTCAGAGTCTGCGTCTACACAGCAAGCTATTATTTTGAAATAATGGTGAGTTGGAGGACTTCTTACTCCAACTCCTGTAACCCTCATTTCACAAGGAGTGAGGGAAGTTGAAGGAAGAGTGTTCTTCCTGCTGTGTAGACAGCACCAAAAGTTGAATTAATCGATTTCAAATTCAGCTATGCAATTGATCTAGCTGAAGTTGCATAGCTTAATTTGACTTTTGCCTTGCTGTGTAGACATGCCCTTAGTGAGGTTCTGGGAGATATTACTTGTCCTAATTCAGCATGTCCTCCAGTGTTCCCTCTAAACTGTAGAGCAGCACAGCTTCACAGGTGATAAGCAGCTCCAGCCAGTCGGAGGCTCAGGACTCCATGCATAGAGCTGACTGACTGGACGGGGCTGATTAATCACCTTTCAAACTGTGCTGCCCTGCAGCTTAGAGGGAACATTGATCTCATCCCCCGCGGCCCCTTAACATGGTTTTTCTTTCTCTCACATGAAATGCATCTATCTCTAGTAGAAGTGATAGACGGGTAAGTATGGATATATATGTATATACACACACACACATGCAGAGTGCCAGATACTATTTCTGTGCAAAAGTGAATGAAATGCATGACAAAAAGTGACATTTTATAGTTTTAGGTGTCCAAAAAGTACACAGATCTGCATTCCACTGAAGTGGGCCTGACTGACAAACTCATTAACCTTCCAGCACTGTCGGATACACAAACACTTCTCAAAGAAAACCAATTTACAAGAAAAGCAAGATTCTTTTCAAAGCAAAGAAATTATTTGCACAGACCAAACTAGTACCCTGGTCCCAGCCCTATGCACACCTGCTCAATAAAACTTCTAGAATGTGTATCTTATGTGTTTCCTTGCCAACCAGCCTCCATAACATTCCTGGTATGTGCCCATTGAGCTTCACAATCTCTACAAATGCTGTGGGAGATTTTTGATATGGGTAAGTCTGTGTTGCCAAAGCCTTGAAAGCTATTGAAAAACTTAGGAAAGCTATGAATAAAATGGCCAAGGAATACCTAAGAAGCATGAATAAATAACCACATTTTGAGGAGACCCTGGCTACAAGAAATGACTCTAGCACACTGCATGAGTTCAACAAAGCTTGAGATGCAAAAAGGGTGAGAGATTTTAAATAAGTAAAAATGGCTGCTCAGAAGTACAAGCAAACTCTTTTAAAAAGGGGGGATGGGAATGAAGAGCTCGTGGAGGCTAAGAAAATTATGAAGGCAGAGAATAAACTATCAAAAAACTCATTCTGTGGTAGTAACACATACAGGCTCCAAATTGTTAGCTTTTTTGAGAACCAAGCCACTACTTTGGGTGCTTTTTATGTTTTCTTACTCTGATGTTTATTTTGCTCTGTAACAAACCTTTCTAACAGCATGAACAAATCTCTTGGCTTTCATTTATTCATGTGCAATATGGTTGATTTGAATTAAAAGTGAATTACATAGTTTCCTATGCTGTATGGTTTTGGCTTTGTAAATAATGTTTAATAGCTTTAGAAGCACAATTCTTTGACAACATTGTATGTAAGAATGTTCCCCAATAGGAGGTTTCTGGAGGGCTTGTTTCCAAAAAGAAAAGCAGATGGTTATAGACAGTTATTCTGACCTGCTGGGCAGAATGGAAACACAAGTGAGCAGTGTTGTCTAGAAGGCCAGGTATGATTAGGGTAGCCTATAGGCTGAATTTGTGCCAGGGCTGAACTCTGGCATTTCTAGACTTGTCAGTTCAAAGCCCCAGCACCTCAGGCTTGATGTATCTGTTGACTGTAAAAAGAGAGAAAAGCTGCTTAATCTGGGGCACCTCTTTCATTACAAATTAAGCTTTGGTAGACTTGTATTTATGCTGTTTCAGCATTATTCTGTTGGTGGCTTCTGCTGCCTTTGATCATCTGCTTTTTGCCCCCTCCCTCCTAGATTGAGAGCACATAAAAGGCATAATGAAGATAGTTTTCCCACTAGTTCAGTTCTCGCTGGTGTGCATGAGGTCTTGGTGGCACATGAGGGCAGTATTTACAGCTCCTTGTGCCAGACTAGTGAATTTGACCCTACGACTGTTCTGTTTAAATCTAGGGTTTCCTGAGGCACCACCCAATCATATGTTGCACAGCAAAGTACTTCAGAAGTAAAGCAAAAAAAAGTCACAGGCATACTTTATTAAGTCTGTATTTCATCTGAAATGTTGATTTCCTAAGGGCCATTATATAAGTCTGGATAAAATATTCTGGTTTAGGCTTATGTAAAATGTCTTTTTTTTTTCTGTCCTTAAAATGCTTGGAAGTGTATCTAAACTTTCCTTTAATATAAGCATGCAGTGCATTTTTAGGTTTATTATTTAAACATCTCAGATGATTTTATAACCGTGTATGTAATTGATGCATCATGATAATGACTTGATAACTGAGTTCATCTGCACTGCTATTCTCGTAAAAGCCAAAGTAGTAAGCAATCAGTACTAATGCAGAATTACCTCAGTATGAACCTCAGTACAACTCTTGTTAGGGTCTACTCTTGCCTTGTTGCACATATCAGTTTAATTCCTGCATTCATGAGAATTATGTATGCCCAAAGAAGGCAAAATTGACTTTGGTACAGATTGGACCTCCCTGGTCTCGCACCTTTGGAAACTGACCCTTCCTAAAGGAGGGAGTTTGCTGGGTTAGGGGAGGTCAGCCTCTTGGGCCACAAGGCTCCACAGACAGCTGCTCCCTGCCAGGGCTCTCTGGTTCAAGGGCTCTCTGATCCAGCAACATCTGTGGTCCTGGTGAACCATATTGCTGGACCAAAGTGGGGGAGGTTATTGTTTTATTAAAGATCCATCTATTGCTTTGTGTGCTGACAATGTTTAATGTTCTCTTGAAAACAATGTGATCGTTTAATTTAGTAAATAATTTTCTTGTATATGTAACTGTTGTACCTGTGTTCTTTTGCATATCTGAAGTGATGCTGTGTTTGGCAGAAATAGAAGTGGTCTTGTTTGTCCCATGCCTCTTTATTCTTTACTGTTTTTTTGTTTGTTTGTTTTTGTTTTGTTTTTAAAACCTCAGCTGAACCATGTCTCTCTTGCAACAAAAATGTTTTAATTTTCTTTGTATATAAGGAGTTTTTCCTGGTTACTGATAATATTGTGGAGGACACATAATGTACATATATACATACAAATATATGACTGATTCCAACTAAAAGGCCCACTCTTGTCTTCCAGAGCAATATTGACAATGTACATAAAATATGATTTTATTATGCAGTGAAATCTTGTTATATATGTTGTGACATGGCAATAACGCTGCTGTGTTAAAGGGCCTCTTAGCATTTTTTAGGAATATATACCTTGGCTAGCTTAATTCCATATTGGTTGAATTTAGATATAAATACCTTGTCTTCTATGTTTAATATTCTTTCTGATTTTATATTTTAGACCTAAGAACCATTTTGGCAGTGTTTAAGCTGCTCAACAAGGGACGTGCTAATGGATGACAGAGAATTTCCTACAAATGGTCTACAGGTAGTCTCAAAGGATAGACTTCATGCTGGTGACAGTGTGGGAAATGTAGGAACTCATCTGGCTTCTTCATCTGATGAAAATGAAAATCAACTTGAAGGCAACAGAAGTGAGGTCCTGACCAGCAGTGACAGTTCAATGGGCGTGCATGAAAAGGTTGAGCAGGACACTGTCAATAATAATGAAACTCTGGACAGTGTAGACTTTACACTGAGCTGCACAGAAGATGAAATTGAGAAGAGTTCTGAAAATTACTGTGAGGACATTCACAGAGAGGACAAGCCTGCTCTAGAAAAATGGAGAGATGGAAAAAGAAGTTCAGCTTGCAAAACAGACTCCAGTAGAAAACCTACAGGTACTTTTTTAAAAATTACATGTTGTTTGTTTTGTTTTGAATAATGAAGTCCTGGTTCTATTCAGTGAGTCAGTCACATTTACAACTAACCTATTGTAGCAGGGTTTACTCACCACCATAGCACCTCCTGCTGGTCACAACAGGAATTAGCTCTGTCTATTGAGCGTGCTGACTCCTGGAAGGTATCTCACCAGTCATCTCTTTGCTCTCCCCATCTCTTCCCTCTGGCTCTGGACCTGAGTTGTTTCTTTGTTCTGCGGTGTCCACTTCAAGACACTATCCTCTAGCGGTGCCCACTGTTCTGTTCTCTCCCCTTCCAGTGGTATCAGAAGTCCTCAATCCGTACACCCGCCTGAGTAGCCAACAACAGCCCCAAAATCTAGCCCCTAGCCTCAGGTGCAAACTGCAGTCTGTAAAGGCTGCGCTCTGGTTCCCGACCCAGGGACCCTTTGGCAACAGCCATCTCCTACTGTCCTCTCCCCTTCTCTGCTTGTGACCCTTGCACTTTCTCAGCCCTTGTATCAAGGCCCACAGCCTGGCAGATATCAGGCTGGAGCTTCTGTTCAGCTCCCCTGAGCCTGCCCAGCACTGCCCTGTCCAGGGTGCCACTGATTCCCTCCCCTACTGGGACCCAACTCCTTCTCCCATGCTTGTCAGGGTGAGAATGAACTCCCCTCATCTCTGCAGCCTTTTTCTTGGCCCCAACCTGGCCTTGATTGGCTAAGTTTGCACAGGCTTCCTCTGTCTTGCTTTCAGCCCTGTCCCTGATGCAGTTGGCTACACATAGAGACTTGTTTTCAATTACAGCCACTTTCCTTACAATGGTATTATTTATTGACTTGCTGACAATAGTAAATCAGATGCAAAGTACAGACCGTCCTACCTTCAGGAGCTCAAAATCTAAAAGAGAGAGGGGGAGGGGAGAGGAAGGGGATACATTTCTGACTGAAGTCCAAATACAGATAACATATTTCTTGATCATTTGAGTGTTGAAAGGCAAGATTTTGGTGTCCTTTTAAGGCATCAACATTTGAAAATTTGGCTTTAGTCACAAAATATCTTCAGCTAGAACTGCTATTACCATAATTTATTTAGGTTTCCCAAGCTTAATAAATATTCCACTAGGTACTTCTAAAATAAAACATCCATAAAATAGGTGTATAGCTGATGCCAAGTTTTTAAGATTGTATAATTTACTTTTCCAAATCTAACTCTAGATCTTTTTAAACTAAGTGGCTATGGACAATGTTTAAAATATTGTGTTACATGTTCTGCTTGTTTCAAATGTTCCTTCCTTTTGTGAAAATGTTTGTATTGCTATTGAATTTTACCATGTTAAGGTTTATACTTTTTGTAGAATTGCAAAATATACCGATGGATACAGTGCATTTTGCTTTAACCCTATTGGTATTTTGGAGGATTTTTTAAAAATTATTGGCTAGGATTTGGTGATGCCCTGAATGGTTTTTTTTTCCTAAGATTTTTTTTTTCTCTTTGTTGAAATTTAGGGAGATCATCTCAGTAATTAATAATGAAATTGACTAGCCATGTACTGTAGCAAGCATTTTCAAAGTCACTTGTTTCATCTTGCCCCACCAAAGCTACACAGTAAATAATCATTTTGTTTTTCCCTAGGAATATATGTTTTCAAGCCAAGGTTTTACAAACACATTCTTGGGCATCTAGTCCGGGATGGAGAACCACTTTTGGCGTGGGGGACATTGACCCATAAAACAATCATTTGGGAGCCACACACAAGTGAGAATCAAAACAAAAAACAAAACCCCTCACTGACGTTGCTCCCAAGTGATGAGTGGAAAAAATCTTTCACAGATGGGGCTCCCAATTGAGAAGCAGAATAAAAAAGAGAGGTGTCCACCTCACTTCCCTTTACTCCAGCCCTACAGGGGAGAAGGCTAAGGGATTAGGGATGGATTAACTCTTCTGGCGGGTTCAGGGCTAGTAGATTTGTGGGGTCCCATAGGCTCTGGAGTGGGACCAAAAATGAGGGAGTTCAGTATAAGGATGTTAAGGAACGGGTATTTTGTTAATCGTGTTGTTAATACAATTTGTATCGACTACACAATTAGTCGATAAGGGGAGGCTCTCTCCCGGACCACTGCGCTTCTGCATTTTAAATATAGTAAGAGCTCAGCAGTTTTTAAGATGCAGAGGCGCACTGGACCTGGACCCACACGAGCCTAAAATCTCAAATACTAGACAATGGAATCCCATGGAAATGGTGTGATGTAGTGGGGGTATCTGGCTGGTTTCTATGCTGGCTCTGTGGTAACCCCCACTGGCTGCTGTTGGCCCAGCAAGACAGGGGATGAGTCATTATGCAAAGAGGGTGTCTCAACCTGTTTGACCAGCTACCCCCCAGGGAGAGAAACAAAGGAAGGTGGAATGCCGCCCCTGGCTGGGGGGCAGGGCTGGAAGAGAGTTAGTTAGTCTCTGTCTGGGATCATGGAGGAAGCAGCCTAAGCAACAGGTTGGGGGTTTAGAAGCTGAGACACCCCCCATATCAAGGAGGGCTGAGGCATGGCCCAGTAACCAGATAACATCTGTGCTGTGCTGTATCCTGAAGAAGCAATAAACTCCCTCTATTCTACTGGCTGGTGGAGTCTGGTCATGCCATTTCGGGAGTGCAGGAGGCGGGGGAATCCCAACGCGTCGTCACAAATGGCAATATATTAACAGCAGAGAGTTTAGTACACATAATCTTAATTAAAACTTCAGAGCTTCAAGACAAACTTCAATGTTTTGAATTCTGCAGGATCTGAGAAATCTTGTTTCTCACCTCTCTTTTTCCTCAGGGGTGCTAATTCTAGGGATTTCACCTGAAGTTTTAAAGTTTTAAATATTTGTCATTCAAAGTGTCTTCGCTCTGGTGCAAATATAAAAGAGCAAGTCTGCGGAGCAGGGGTCTCAAACTCAGTTTACCTAAGGGCCAGTACCAGTCCTAAGATCCTCCTAGTGGGCACTTTGGCAGGGCTCTGGGTAGAGTGGTGTGGATCTCTGGGCATCTTTCAGCCCCAGCTGTCAGCCTCTGCTCTATCCTGGGCTCATCTGTTAACATGCATGGTTACACGCAGGCTCCCACCAGTACTAGGAATGTTAGCGTATAGTCATTTATGCGATTTACCTTTAAGCCTGGGCTTATCGGTTAATCCAAACACTAACCCCTCCCACTTGCTGCCTCTGTATTGGAGCTTTTAAGCCAGTTCCCCACATGTGCCAGTTCCTATGGAGCTGCCTGCCCCACATCTGCTGCCCTCCACAAAAGCAGCAGTGCAGGTAATAGGTGGGAGTCAGTGTTCAAGGGGAGTTGGTTTAAAAGACAACTCCCCATGAGCGCCAGATCCCACGGAGACACCTCTCTCTCTCTCTCTTTCTCTCTCTCATTCACACACACACACTCTGTTCTCTTGCTTCTGCTGATAGAGAAGCAGCAGCACGGAGGGTGAGGGGACATGTGGCAACAGTACGTGCAGGAAACTGACTTTCAAGCTGGCTCCCCACGTGTATCCACTCCCACAGAGCCATCTGCCGTCCTCCCCTGGGTTGGCTTTTAAGCTGGCTCTCAGCGCATGCCAGCTTCTCAGGTGGCAGGAGCTGGTGCTCAAGGGGAGCTACCAACAAGCACCGACTCCACAGAGCCTCCTCCCCCTCCCTTGCTGCTGCCTCTCTATCAGAGGCACCAGCGTGGGGGCAGAGTGAGTAGGTGGGAGTCAGCTTTTATTGTTTAACCAGTTTACTGATTAATCAGAATTTTACATCGCTATCATAGATAAAGGCATTGGCTCATACTGCTAAAAAAGCACTGATTCCGTCTTCAGTTACGCTGTTGTTGAAGTCAGCGCAGTTACTTCTGACTTACTTGTCAGTCCCCGTAATACACGAGGTTCGAAGGGATGCCGGAAAGGATGAGACCACAACTGGGGGTTTCAAAAAGCACAAACTGATTTTATTTTGATGGCGCCAGACAATCATCAGAACAAAAATTAAACAGATTGCCAGACAACACAAAACAATTCCCTGAGGCTTTTCTAAATCACAATAATTTCCAATAACTGCCCAGGGGTTAGGAACAGTTGAATTTAACACTGGTATTGTCCATAGGGCTGATTATTTACACAACTTTATACAAGGAAACAGTAAAAAACCTAAACCACAACTATTTATAAACTAACTTAGTAACTTTTTAGCCACTGTCACTTGGCAAGCAATAAGGACAACTAAAAAATCAATTAGGATAGGGATGATGGTGGGGGGCGGGGGTGTTATACCAGTTCTGGAGACAGCAGGAACACAAGTACCGGTCACACGCTCATAACCTGTCTCCACTCGGGTCGACCAACTCAGAGTACGCTCAGTAAGACTCAAGAGCGGGGGGTGCAAGGCGTCTGGGTGATCAGGCCAGGCGTTCACTCAATGCGAATCCCCAGTGAGAGAGGGGCTGCCTGCCTGTTTTATTGCCTGTGAACTTATCACCCCATAGGTTGGTTTTTGCTGCAGTGGGTGGAGTAGCAGGCCTGAGCACCAGTCAGCCCACTGGCTGATCTGTTACTGCAATGGGAGCGAGCAGGGGAAGATTATTAATTTACATGCCCTTATATGGAAAACACTCCACCTCACAGACAGAGCCCCCTATACCAGCCTCAGAGGTATTACAGGCTATGGCTCCCTGCGACGGGCAGCCATTTCTGATGTTCTGCCTCGGACATTACTAAATTACATCAGAATTGCAGTGGATCAATGTGAAGGGTAGAATTTGGTTCAAGGTGGGTCAGAGTATGGCTGCTTGCTGATCTGGAGCATGCTTTTTAAATTAATTTTATAACTATGGTGCCACAATGGCTTCATTAAAATGTAATTTTTCCATGACGGCAATTGCAGAGTATGGTTTACTCAGAACTCAGGTTTTACCTTACAGATCATTAGGATTTAGGGTAAACTAGAGCAGTGGTTTTCAAAATTGGGTTGCGGACCCACCTAGGTAAGCCGTTGGCAGATCTGTAATGCTTAGATTATCATTGGCTTTGGTTCACCTTGTCTGGAAACAGTGAGCTGAAGCCAATGGGAGCTGCGGGGCTCCACGTCTGTGGACATTTAAATAAGCAAAGAGTTGCAGGTCCGCCAGCAGCTTGCCTGGGCTGGCCCACAACCCAACTTTGAAAACCACCGAACTAGAAAATATGTAATTAAGAAGTGCAGTCTGAGGTCTGACATTTCTTTAGGAGTAAAGGTTTTAAAGAAGTTAAAAGCAGTGTTCAGGAACAGGAGGAAAACATAGTTAATGATCACATGACAAAGTTGTGGGGAAAAAAAACTGTTCTTTTGAAACAGGTTTGGTTTCATCTCTAACGTATCCTTCAATAAAAATGTTTAGGCCAAAGTTGGCTGAAAACAGGCATCAATTAATAGTGGAAAAGCACAGGTACAATATTGGAAAAGCAGTGTTAAATTACACTCGTATTTTGGCTGGTAGTAGGCCCCACATTTGCATCTACCTATAGAGATTATCAGTACTCTTGAGTAAATTAAGCAGGGGAAAGGGTGTAGCAACTGTACGTGGAAAAGAGTAGTCTTCGTTGGAACATGTAGCATTGTGAGCTCTAAACTCTATTCCTAGTTTAGCATGCAGAGAACACAAATGGAAGGCCTGCAAAATTACAGCTTTAGAAGGAACCAGGATGAAAGCACAACCACAGACTGCTCAGAGCACAGCCATCAAATGTGCTGGTGCTCAGTCTTACAGTTTTAAAGTAGGGAAGGCCTTAAACTTGTGCAAACTGGTTTTCAGACAGTTTGGGGTTTCCAAAAGTTAAACCCTCATGACTAGATTAAAGTTTCCTATCATATTCCAGCCATGAATGAGTATATTCAAGTTTGTCATAGATGAGGAATACTTCTTGAGTTGTTGTCTAAACATTTTTTAAAACGCCTCAAATGTTTTTTTTAATGTCATTACCAAAAATAGTCTGTCATTAGTGTATATTTTATATGTTGAAGTTTCTTATTACTCATCTCATATGCTTTAAGTTACATCCTTTGTAGACACAGCTGAGATTTTATTTAATTCAATATTAGAGCCTTTCTGCTGCTTTTATTATATGGGTCTATTTTAAGAAAGTTGTGATACTCTACGTGTTGACGATAACTTTTAGTCATTCATTATAAAGCTATAGTCTTGCCAAATTTCTCAAATTATTTCAAGAGTTGACTTTTTAAACATTAATAAAAGACACGAATGATTGGCAGCAGTGGAAGTCAAAGCCTTCCATGTGCTCATGAATTTGAGGTAAATGATAGCTTATTCTCCAAACCCATTCACCCCTTTATGTCTTTGCTAGGATTTGGGGGGGGGGGTAAGAGGGAGGAACCTGCAAATCAGTGTTTTTTTCTTTCTTTTTATTGGGACACTTGTCCACTTGGAACTATACCTGTAAGGTATTGCTTATGGTACTACCTGTGCATATTTAAATAACTGCTGTAAACTCTGAATCATTCCAGGGAGGGGTGATGCAAAAAATTAAGTGGACTCCTTTTTGAGGAAAAAAAAGGGTATCTCCATTTCTGCTGCCATCCTTCGCCATGGGCAGGATATGCAAGCAAAGAGTGTTTCCCTTATTGGATGAGCCATTATTCTGTATTCTCCAAAACAAAGTAGGCATAATGTAGTAACTGAATTCTATTTTCTTTTAGGCTGACACTTTCCTTTCTTGGTCTCATGGTTGGTTTGTTAATTTGGAAAGTTTGAGGAAAATCTCATTCCTCATGGAGCGAAAAAGTAATGTTTCCCTTTAAAAAGAGACTTAATTGCTCAAAATTGCAGAACTTAAACTTCAAATTTAGAATGTGGTTAGGCTATCTAAAGAATTGGCTGCCTTGCTAAAACTTAATCTGTACTCTCATTTACACCCAGTTTTTTTATTTCTGTAATTTATTTCAGTGAGGGGGTCAGAAAACAAAGTTTTTAGCTAAATACCAAATTCCTAAAGATTTTTGTGGATCCAGATCCAGGGAATGATGAGGTGAGAGATTAACATAGGGAACCAGGAGATCTCTGCTTGTTTTCCCTTGTAGTTTAGCTGGGAGCTGAGCACAAGTGAGATGCAGTGATGATGGAATTTGTGTGATGGAACTGAATCTGTGTCTCTTACAAGGCTTTCAGGTCCTGCCATCTGCACCTACAGAATTCGTAAATGCAGTTTCATTACACATGAATAACTTTTTAATGCTTAGATATTCATACATACCTATTTATCAAACTGAATTTACCACCTCTGCAATTACATATTGCTCTAAGCTTCCCCAAAACCTCTCAGGGAAGTTGCATCTGCAGAATCCTTCACATAACTGCCAGGGTTTCAGAAGGGGCCCTTGAATAATGGGGGAAGGAAATGGCAGGAGGAAATGCCACCAGCCATAATAAAAATAGTCATGTTCTTCAAGAAAGCTAGTGTTTAAAAACAACTTTGAAGTTTTTTAAACAAAACCATTTTTGAGTTAGGAGTCCACCAAAAAGTCTTGTAAGTAGCATGTCTTCAAAATTAATTAATCTTAAACTTCCAGCAGCAAAAATGCCTCTTTGGCTCAAGGCCATGTTACAAAAGAACGTTTTAGAAAATGTTCAAAAGGGTTGAAATCAGTATGACTGTAGAAAGTGTTACAGCCTTCATTATATGAAGTTACCCAGACCACTACTCTCTTCCTGAATTATGCAGAACAGTTTAAACCGAATTGGGCCACTGCAGCCCTTTAGATGAAAAAATGCATGAAGTGTACTGTATTAGGGTTCCTCAGAGCCATGCATCACTGTCCGCCCCTCTGTTATACCTTACTTTAACAATACCAGCAGCTTTGTTTTAAATTTCCTAATAACACTTGCATCATAATTTAGATGGGTTTTTATTTCCATTTAAAGGAATTCCTTCAGTGGGCCCTGCAACAGTTGAGAGAGTGAATGAGCTCCTTAAAGTTACAGAGTCATTGCATGATGAAGATGTTGATGAAACAAATGCGAATGAACAGACAAAGCAACAAAACCAGACTTTGCAGTCACTCTTTTCCCTGCTTCGAAAAGAGTTTGAGCAGATGGACTCAAGGATACTCCCTCTGTGTCTGCATCAGGTATACTATGTATTAGCATGTTGTTACATGTGATTATATTTTATACTGTTTGTTGTCCTTAAGCTTGTCCTTGCTAGGGAAACCCCCCCCCCCCCCAAACCTTGAGTGTGTGTTACCTAACACATTAAAATCCTACTGTAGACAAGTAAATGGGTAGTTTTAAGATGTGTTATGAGAGAGGTTTTCCTTGACTATCTAGTTCATGTTAAAATTACAAATTGCCTTGTCTATATTATGCTTTAACATATGTTAAAATCCTACCTTTTCTATGGATATGGTCCCTGAGTTTGGTACACTCCATTTGAGGGACATACATCCCTTTAAAATCACTTGAAGATTAAAGACATTGGTATTAGTAGCAATAGATTGGTTTTCTAAATCTCTCTCTCTATATAAAAACATTTTACCTGCAGGATGACAGAGTGATGTCATCATGTCACTCTGCATCCCACCACCCTCTGAACTAGATAAGATCACAAAGAAAAAACAATTTCTTGCCATTTCAACCAGAAAGGGCATTGTCTCAATGACTTGATTACCTGCATCCTGCTTCAAAAACATTTTAACACCAGACTTGAAAGATAATCCTCTGAACTGTCATTCATGCTTAAATTTGACACTTTATACCTAGGTCTTAACAAAGGTACTAATTACCTTACCCATTACAAAGATAGCTTCCCCAATTATCACCTCTAATATCATTAACTCACAGACATTTACCTCCTCCCCCCATTCCCTTCTGTTCTGAAATTTGATTTGTCCTTTTCCTATGTGTTCATTTTTTTTATTGTATCCTTTGGTATATATGCTCATGCCAATTTTCTTCCACTATTTGATCTGAGGAAGTGGGTCTGGCCCACGAAAGCTCATCACCTCATAAATCATCTTGTTAGTCTTTAAAGTGCTAGCTACATAGTCCTGTTTTTTGTTTCAGCTAGACCAGACTAACAGGGCTACATTTCTCCTCCCTCACTCCCTCACTCCTCAGTGCCACAGGGTGGGAACCTCACGACTTCCCCTCGCAGGGGGGGGCCAGGAGCCACGCTGCATCTCCCATCCCCCTCATAGGGTGCAGGAACCACAAGCTGCATACCCTCCCCAAAGCCCCTCAGCCGAGACCCCACACTTTCTAGCCCGCTCACTCACCACTCTGCTGAGACCTCACATCCCCAGGCCCCTCACTGACCACTCTTCTGAGACCTTCCACCAAGACCCCATACTCCCAGCCTGCTACTGCCCTCTCCCCTTGGCCAGACACCTACTCCCAGCCTGCTCCTACACTCTCCCTTGGTCTTGCACCCTCCCCCCTGTCCAGAAACCTGCCCTCAGCCCGTTCCTGCACCTTCCCCTGGCCAGATACATACACACACACACACACACACACACACACACCCCCCGAGAGAGGGGGGTTGGTGAGCATAGCAAACAGAGGGTGAGCCCCTTAATAGTATTTTAATCTGGAAATACTCTTATCGCAGACTTCTGTTTCCAGCATGAACTTAATGTATGGATGGTAAGGATTGTTCCTACTTAGTTGAAGGTGGTTTTATCTGATTAGTATGTGCTGATGATTCTTTTTCCATGTTACCTGTCAGTTTAATAGCTGTCTTAAGGCTACATTAGACTAAGGGAATAAGCAGTATTGTAATGTGTACAGCTGTGGATTGGAAAAGTATGTGAGAATTAATGTACAGCTATTTATTTCTGCCAACAGGTGAATGGCTTTGTTTCCCTGCAAAAGGTGACTGGGAGTGTGATTATAATATAACATAGCTATGTGGCTATGACCTTTTGTACTGTAATATAGTTCATTAGTGTTGTTTTTCTGAAAGATGGCTCCACAGTAAGGATGTTAAGCACTAATCGACTATTGGATAGTTAAGTTGACTAGTCCATTTCCTCTCCCCTCCCCCATCCCCCACTGCCACTATCTAATAGAGGCAGCGAAGAGTGGGTGCTTCAAAGCGACAGCACGGCTCAGCTGTGCGGCGCTGCCCCTTAAAGCAGCACCACATGGAGCTGACCTTGGGCTCCATGCAGCGCTTCCCCTTTGAAACGCCGCAGAGGCATTTGCATGGAGGCCTGGGTACACTGGGGACTCCCCAGCTGATCCTAGGTTCCAGCGCAGTGCGCAGAGCCCGGAATCAGCTGAGGAGTCACCAGCTGATTCCAGGCTCTGGGGAAATGTCCCCAGCTGACACCAGGCTCCATGTGGTATTTCAAAGCAGCAGTGCAACATGAGGTCTGGGGGGCTCTTGTACATTTCAAAGCTGGCACGCTGCATGCAGCCCAGCGTCAGCTGGGCTTCCCACTGGCTCCAGGCTGCACACACAGTTCCACATTCCTCCTTTGAAATGTACAAGAGCCCCAATGAGGGCTCTTGTACAATTCAAAGGAGAAATGCAGAAGTACCTATCGACTAGTCAAGTAGTCGATGGAAATTCCATCTGCTACTTGACTAGGAAATTACTCAAATCCTTACTGCACATATTGTCTAAAATGATACATTTCAGTGGAGCCCTTTAGCTTCCTTTTTCTTGTGGTGTCTGACAATGCTGCTTGACAGTTTTATTCTTTTGCCATCATAGTTGAAAACAGGGCATCCGTGTTCTCATTTGAAGCTGTTCTTCAGTTGATTTCGATGGCATAAGGGGTTCCTTGCTATTGAATTGCCCCTTGTTGTGATTTGATATAAATGATCAAAAGATGAATCAATAAAACAGGCATGAGAGATGGGTTCAATAAATATTTTGCTGGCAGTTTACATTAGCAGTGGAATTTTCAATTATTAAAAAATGATACTTTAGTGAAAATTTTCTATTCCTTGCATTAATTATGTTTATTAAACTTTGCTAGTTAATCTGTTGACTGAAACAGAATCTAAAGTTTGTGCTAGCTCATGAATGTCAACACCATATAAAGAAGACAGTATAAGTAGCGCAGAGAGCTCAAAGTACTTTACCTATACTAATGAATTTACCCTCACAAATCCCCTTGAGTATGTAACCAGGTAAATTCTAGTTGTTTTTCTGCATATGAGGCAACTGAGGCCAAAAGAGGCAGACTCTTTCTAAATCATTCAGGAAGCCTCTGGCAGAACTGAGAATAGAATGTGCTTGCCGACTCCCAGTCATGCGTCCTAACCACAAGATCATCCTTCCTTCCTGAGAAAAATGAAACAAGCCCTAATAAAATAATTGAAAGAAAGTTAGTAAATATTTAAAATACTGGGCCTAACATTTTTATTAAGATAGATAAAATGAAACAGGTGAAGAACAAGCTTGTATTTTCTTGTGACATGAGCGCTAATTAGAGCGTTATCTTCTTTGGAATGGAGTAATGTCTCATGAACTGCCTGAAGCGGGTTTACCCACCAAAACTCATGATATAATGTATTGGTTAGTCTCTAAGGTGCCATAGGACTGCTCGTTGCCTACTTTAGATTTACAAAAGCGACGAGGAGTCCTGTGGCACCTTATAGACTAACTGAAGTGTAGGAGCATAAGCTTTCGTGGACAAAGACCCACTTCATCAGATGCATGTAGTGGAAATTTCCAGAGGCAGGAATAAATATGCAGGCCAGGATCAGGCTGGAGATGATGAGGTGATCCAATCAAGGAGGATGAGGCCCACTTCTAGCAGCTGATCTGGAGGTGTGAATTCCAAGGGAACAGAAGCTGCTTTTGTAGTTAGCAAGCCATTCACAGTCTTTGTTTAATCCAGAGTTGATTGTGTCAAACTTAAAGATGAACTGTAGCTCAGCAGTTTCTCTTTGAAGTCTGGTCCTGAAGTTTTTTTGCTGCAGGATGGCTACTTTTAGATCTGCAATTGTGTGTCCAGGAAGATTGAAGTGTTCCCCTACAGGTTTTAGTATGTTGCCATTCCTAATATCAGATTTGTGTCCATTGATTCTTTTACGTAGGGACTGTCCTGTTTGGCCGATGTATATAGCAGTGGGGCATTGTTGGCACATGATGGCATATATTACGTTGGTGGATGTGCAGGAGAATGTACCAGTGACAGTATGGCTGATCTGGTTGGGGCCTGTGATGGTGTTGCTGGTGTATATATGTGGGCAGAGTTGGCACCGAGGGGTGTTTCAAGGTTTGGTTCCTGCGTTCGAGTTATTATGGTGTGGTGTGTAGTTGCTGGTGAGAATATGCTTCAGGTTGGTGGGTTGTCTGTGGGCAAGGACCGGCCTACCTCCCAAGGCCTGTGAAAGCGGGGGATCATTGTCCAGGATGGGTTGAAGATCACTAATGATGCGTTGGAGAGGTTTTAGCAGGGGACTGTAGGTGATGGCCAGTGGGGTTCTGTTGGTTTCTTTCTTGGGCTTGTCCCGTAGCAGGAGGCTTCTGGGTACACGTCTGGCTCTCTCAATCTGTCTCCTCACTTCCTCGTGTGGGCATCGCAGTTTACAGAATGCTTGTTGAAGATCTTGTAGGTGTAGGTCTCTGTCTGAGGGGTTGGAGCATATGCGGTTGTACCTCAGTGCTTGGCTGTAAACAATGGATCGTGTGGTGAGTCCGGGACACCACGATACAAATTTCCTGGACACCACGATACAAATAAGTGACGGTCATATCAATACCACCCTATACCGAAAACCTACCGACCGCTATACTTACCTGCATGCCTCCAGTTTCCATCCCGGACTCACCACAATGCCCTACTGCTATATACATCGGCCAAACAGGACAGTTAGTTAGCACTTTAGCTGCAGCTGGAGCACCTCATGCTTTTAACTCCAGCGATCTCCACTTCAGTCCCCAGTGTATTGGCCGAGATGATAACCATCACGATGGTACTGTATTTAGTTTTCAGTTTCTAGGCTAGTTGAGTTTCAAGAGTCAGAGGTTAATCTAATCTCTTCTTTTTCTTCTCAAATAGGGTCTGCTATATGAGTTCTCTCCCTCCAAAGCACTCTGTCCAATGCCCCTATCCTCTCTCATACTACATACTGATCTGTCTTCTTCCTTTATAATATTTCTGTACTACTTCTTGGGTTGACTTGTCTTTTTTTTTTTTTTTTTTTTCAGATTTTGTCTCAGTACTGTGTTTTAAATGACCATACCATCTGAACCTGCACTCTCTCGTGTTTTGTTGATGGGAGTGTGACCATGATCCTGTCTCCTTGTTTATGAAGTTTACCACACTCCTGTCTCCTTGCTAGCCAGCTCCTAACAGAGCCAGGCTCCTTCCTTTTATCCTTCCTCCAGGCCTGGCATTGGCTACAGGGAAGGGCTAGCTGGGCCAAAAGGCTTTATTTAACCCCTGTGATGACGGTCCAGTCTCTCTTCGCTCCCTTACAGGGGGTTAATTTGAGTATATTGCTAACATACATATTCCTCATGTGGTCTTTCTACTTACACCACTCACATACCCAACAGTTGCATTTCTGTGGAGCAGATTATTTTTTCATGTTTCTCCTTTGTTGCCCAGCACTTAGCTTCAATCATTATGAACAGACCACCATTTTATAAACTTTCCCTTTTAGTCTTACTGGTGTCTCCTGTCACATGCTACATAACTTCTCTATCTCCTTTGAGCAACGTGTTAATTATTAAAACTCTCATTTCATCCTTTATTTCCACATTTTCGTGGATTCTGGAACCCAGATAGTCAAAAGTTTACATTTTTTGTACTGTCTGACCCTGTAGTTTCAAGGTCAATTCTTCAGTGTTCACGTTATTGAAATTACTTACTATATACTGTGTTTTTCCCCTGCTTATTTTGAGGCCATGTCTCTGACAGAGTAATTTAACCCCTCCCAATATTTTTACACGGTCTTCTGAAATATTACTTCAAATAATGAGCCTTCCTTTCTTACATCATTGTTCTTCTTACTGTGTATCTGTCCTTGACAATATTTTGATTTCCAGATTAAACCTAAAACAGTATTGTGGATTTTATATGAAACAGACAGAGTTCACTGGCTTCCTGTGTTTAACTGCCAGTTAGTGTTTTGTTTGTTCTTACATGCATGTTCTACATCTGGTAGAAGAGTCTTCAAATGTTGTCTCATTATGTTTCTCATTATTTCCTTTGGCAGAGCTGTCACTTAAAGGTCATGTTTAACCTGTTCTGTTATAGCAATGTCATTATAAGGGGCAAAGTCTTAAACTGATTCTACCTCCTAAAATCTGTAATGCAGATTACACAGCTGCAATCTAGCTTCATTTTATTCCTGTTGCAATGCTTAAGTTTTTTTAGATATCAGAACTTGGGCTCAGTGAATTGAGGAAAGATGGCTAGATGGTCTTACAAGATTTATGCAGGAATCAGTTGTGTATAAGAGGTTGGGAGAGAAAACCTGAAGAGAAAGTACATGGGTCTTGGGGTTGTATAAAAAAGTGTTGCCAACTCTTTCAATTCTATCACAAGTTTCAATAGTTGATACTCTCCTTAAAGCCCCAACTCCTGAAGTCCTATGATTTACATGAGAATTTCAGTTTTCTTTAAAAAAAGGTTCTGGCCTATGTAGTTGCAGAAAAAAGCATGTCAATGTAACCACACTGTACTATAATCTATTAACTCAAAAAAAACCCCCCACAAAACCTCAGAAGACAATAAAAATAACCTGTCTTTTTTGTGTGTGATTTTTTTTTTGAGGCCTCACTCGTGATTTTCAAATGCTTAGAGTTGGTAGTGTTGTGAAAGAGACTGAAAGAGGAGAGTGGTTATATCTGTGGCTTGTGACAGGCAGCATTTTTTCCCACCATCTTTAAAGATCTCCCTCCAATAGCTGTTCTTGCCTGATATGTCAGGGCTCTATCCTTTCAGAAAGAGGGCTCCTCATTTTACCTTTTAGCAGACTGTGCTGTAGCATTACTCAAGAATTCATTTTCTGCAGTGATATTACTTTTTGAGGCTTTGAGAAATTCATGTCCCAGTTAGAGAATTCAAACTTTGATGTAAGTAAATGTGCTCCATCTAGACTGCTTTAACAAAGCTCTTTGTTGTAGAGTCACATAAGCATAAATCCTATTGGTTTCACAGGTCTAGAACCCAACTAAGTCGAGCTTATCAGATTCTGTGAATATAAGCAAAAGGAGTTGTATTTACTGTCTTGTCAGTTTTTATTGCTTCCTACTCACTTACATAATATCAAAAACCAAATAGTCATGTGCAAAGCATAACTTTTAAAATATATATACAAATGACATATGCACTCTTGAAATAAGATATTATACATGCATTAGTGTAATAAAGAATCAGGGAACTGTGATGTTAAATATTATTTTCTTTTTCCTTTTTCCTTTACAGATAGCTGAGGCCTATTTTCAGGAAGAGGAATGTATCCTTTTATTGATCAAATTTAACAATGTTCTCTTTTGTGTAAAAGTAACTACATATTTATGCTATTACTGTTGCTTTAGTTCTCATTTCCCCACCTTCACACTTCAAAAGTAGTAACTTCATACTTCACTGCAGCTGTACAAAGTATTGCCATAAATAGGGAAAATCAAAATTCTTGAAGTCTTTATAGCCTGTATATTGTCTGACAGGTTTTTGGGGCAGATGTCTTATCTGGGAAGAGAGAAAATTGCTTTCAAATGCTACTTTATTATTATGGGTTAAGCTGCTACAGTGCGCTTTGCACTGTTCAAAGCATAGAGGAAGATTTGTCTCGAGAAGCTTACAAATTAGACAGACACAAAGTCTCTTTGATATCTTTGGATATGGATGGCTCTGGTTTAGACTGTTTGCCTTGGGATAATTTTTTTAATAAGTACCTTCACACACAAATGTATAATGTACTTGCATTTGGAAACTCATAGGTGATCAAATATACCTGCTCTAGGTCAAAGTTTGTTGAAAGAGATTATAATGTCCTAAAATTTTTTTCCGTGCTGCTTTTAGGAAGTTTTTATATAAGTCTTCCAGGTTTAATTTAGTTTAATAATTTATTCAAGTCTATTAGATTGCTGGCCATATAATCACTAGTCTCACATCCATTTTGGTACTTGTGTGTCAGGTTTCAGTCATAGAACTAGACGATGTCCTTTTTAAAGTGGTATTGAAAATAAATATATTCCCATATGTGCGTCTCTATCTGTATTTTTCTTTAACCTTCCATTCAGACGAGAAAGCAATGAAGTTCATTCAGCTTGAACGACTGTATCATGAGCAGTTACTTGAAAATCTTTCTTCCATTCAGAAGCAGTGGGGTATGTACAGTGTGTTCTGATGTGTTAGAGAGCAGAGTTCTTTTTTAGATACTGTATACAGAACTGGTTCTGTCTTTCTAAATAACAGAACAGATATTTTTCCAGTCAATACTGTGTTGCAAAACAAAAGTAGCTCTTTCACTAGAACCTTTCAGAGCCTGTCATGAGAAAATAATTCTTTCCTTAGATTTTTTTTCTCTGGTCTTCGTGAAGAAAAGGCATGTATAAAGAATTATTCTTTATCTTGGTCAGTTTCTATACATTGTATTCTCTGCTGTGGTTGATTCTTTTATTCTCCAGTGAAACTGGTGTGTCATGTTTTGTTGTTTGAAAACAGCACAACTTATCGTGTCGTGATATTATGCTAGTTATCTACGTTGTTGTCATAATTTTAGAACATACACTGGTCAAATTTGCTTTATTGATTTAAAAAAACAAAATTAGAGTTGAACATATTTACCATGGATTAGTCTCTTTGGCTTCTATGTTTTTTGGGTAAGTACATGCTAATTTTTTTAGTAGTGTAGCTAAAACTATTTGTGGTTAATTTAGAAACAAAGTGGAAAACAGCAGTGCCCAGTGAAGTTACAACTCTGAGGAATTCAACTAAAGGACTTAACAATGAAGAGTTGGAAAATCTTGCTAAACTTTGTACGTCACATAGAGAGTAAGTATAGTAAACCTGTTTACTTTAACAGGTGTAAGTATACTTGTTTTTTATTTGTATGGCAGATGTTTGTAAAGAGTTCAACTGCATCCCCAAAAATAAAAATTACAGCAATTGATTAAAATGGATCAAAACCAATTCACATCTAAAAGTATTTGTTTTGATATATAGTAACAATACTTAGCTTTACAATAATTTCTCAAACTGTATTAATATTGCTATAAAAATTTGTACAGACTAAAAATATTACTTGGACCGTCTGAGCAGTTGAAGAGCTTATACTTTGATTACATTGCTGTCATCTTTTGCTGAACCTGCAATGATTCAGTAGGACAAAATTGTCCTTTACTCCCCAAATACACAGTTATGATCAATCCTCTTGGGATAGCCTGCAGCACTAGAATGCTAATGAAGCATGCTAGCAACTTGCACTTTAACCATAGCATAATTCCTTCCACTGCTAGCAGTTAGCAAGTCATTCAGAAAAGATTGTCATATTAATCAATGTCTAACAGTAGGACCCCCTCCAAGCCAATATGTTTAGGCATGAAAGATGAGTAGAAAATTGTTGTCTTTTTTGTTTTCTTTCTCTGCAGTAGGGAGCTGCCCTTCTATTTTTTTCATAGAATTATAGAGTTGGAAGAGACCTTAGAAGGCCATCAAGTCCAACCCCCTGCCCAAGGCAAGCCCAAACCCAATTAAATCAACCCAGCCAGGGCTTTGTCAAGCTGATACTTAAATACCTCTAGGGATGGAGACTCCACTACTTCCCTAGGTAACCCATTCCAGTGCTTCACCACCCTCCTAGTGAAATAGTTTTTCCTAATATCCAACCTGGACCTCTCCCACTGCAACTTGAGACCATTGTTCCTTGTTCTGCCATCTGTCACTACTGTGAACAGCCTTTCTCCAGCCTCTTTGGAACCTCCCTTCAGGAAGTTGAAGGCTGCTATCAAATCCCCCCTCACTCTTCTCTTCGGCAGACTAAATAGACCCAAATCCCTCAGCCTCTCCTCGTAGGTCATATGCTCCAGCCCCCTAATCATTTTGGTTGCCCTCTGCTGGATCCTCTCCAGTGCATCCACATCCTTCCTGTAATTGGGGACCCAGAACTGGACACAATACTCCAGATGTGGCCTCACCAGAGCCGAGTAAAGAGGAATAATCACATCTCTGGATCGACTGGCAATGCTCATCTTAATGCAACCAAGTACGCCATTAGCCTTCTTGGCTACAAGGGCACACTACCATATTTGCTTCTCTTGCTACGCATTGGAATGGTTTCTTCCTGTGGCTTCAGTAAGGCTTCTTTAAAATACTGCCAGCTCTCCTGGGCTCCTTTCCCCTTCATGTTAGCATCCCAGGGGATTCTGCCCATTAGGTCTCTGAGGGAGTCGAAGTCTGCTTTTCTGGAGTTCAAGGTGTGTATTTTTGTGTTTCTCTAGGTCACTACAAGGTTAACCCAAAGAAATCATAATAATAATAGTGTTAGTTCCATCCATCCACTCATCCATTAACCAACTAACCCATAGTCATAGAAATATAGGACAGTATTGGACCTATATTGGAAGTCATCAAGTCCAGCCTCCTTACCATACCTGGCAAGTGTTCGTCCAACCTGTTTTTAAAAACGTCCAGTGGGAATTCCCCAATCTCCCTTGGAAACCTTATTCCAGTTCTTCACTACATTTATTGTTAAAAATTTTCCTAGTATCCAACCGAAATATCCCTTGCTGCAGATTAAGCCCATTACTTCTTGTTTTACCTTTAGTGAAGGTGGAGAACAATTGACCACAGTCCTCTTTATAGTGTGATAACTATTATTTTGAGTGTGGTCTTTCAACCTGTTATGCACCCACCTTAGAGTAATTTCATGTGGACTGCATTTCCCTACTTTTCTTATGGTATTGTTTCAAAAGCCTTATTTATGTTACATTGTAAATAATAAGAGGAAACTTGACATGGAAGACAAGAGTTGGCACTGTTTTGGACTTCTGGGAGCCCTTTCTGAAGGAAAGAGGATCTCACAGAGTGTACCTGGGCAGCAAGTCCCCTTTTTATTATACTGAGAGAAGTACAATTCAGACAGGTGCATGGATCTCAGCTGTGGTAGTGTGACAGAGAGAGAGAAATGAGCTCTCAAGCAGGTTGGACCTGGGCTATTAAGATGTTGGTATTAACCAGTGAAGCACTAAAATTCCACCAAGAAACCCACAGGTAACCAAGGCATATCTGGAAGGCAGCTATTAATATGACTGAAGCAGGAAACTCTCCTTCACAAGCAGCATACTGTACTAATTGCACCTTCCAAATGGATTTATTTTGGAGTCCCAACTACAGCATATTGCAGTAGTCTGGCCTTGAATTGACAGTCCTGAATCACTGCATTGAGGTTTGCTTTGGTAAGAAAAGATTACAGGTCTTGGGCAGTTGTAAATGAAAAAAGGCATCTTGGTTATGACTAGTGATTATTCATAAGTAACTGAAAATCTTACCAGATCCAAGGCTGTAAAAATGACTGCACGTGGCAGAGATGTGTGTTTGATCTAAAGGACAGATACAATTTTTGCCATATTTTCTATTTGCCTTCTCCAGCCTTCTGTCTAGCTATAACTTCAACCAGTCGGTTCTCATTCACGTGTCACTGAGGGCACAATTTGACTTGCAGACCCTTCATAAGAATTAATAATAATAATGTAAAAAGCTTTACTGTCAAAGCCTAGATTTGGTTGCCTTGCCAGCAGTCAAGAAAAAATAATTTCTTCACTTACCGTGAGAGCATATTTGACATGGAGCCATTGGGAAGTATAAACTTGCAACCCTGCAGTGCCACAGAGGCAATTTTAGTACTGTGATTGCAGTAGGACCCTGCTGCTGCCTTGTGACTGATTCCTTTGCCCAGGTGCCTGTCAGGTTCCCTAATATACAGCTTCATTACATGGGATGTGAGTCTTGGGATGTGAGCTAGGATGGAAATATAGCCTATATATTTTACATGTATACACAGCATCTTACTGGGCCCAAAATGGTGATCTTGTGTTTTCTCCTGAAATTTGTTCCATGTATCCTCACTTTAGAGACTAAAATTCAGATACATTCCATCTGCTGTGTTCTCTTCCTTCACTTTGGGTATGTCTAGACTACAGGCTTTTGTCGACAGCAGTATCTGTCGACAAAACTTGTGTCGACAAGGAGCGTCTAGACACATTCAGTTCTGTCGACAAAGCAAGCTGCTTTGTCGACAAAACCCTGTAGTCTAGACACAACCCTACATGCAATAACACCTTCTGTCGACAGAACTCTGTCGACAAAAGTTGTTATGCCTCGTAAAATGAGGTTTACCAGCGTCGACAAAACAGTATGTCGACAGAACTCAGCGGTAGTGTAGACGCAGGTATAGTTTTGTCGACAAAAGTCCACTTTTGTTGACAAAACTAGTCTAGACACACCCTTAGTATGCAATTTGATGAAAAATTGTTTATTTGGCATAAATTGCTCTTTAAATATCCATGTTATCATTCATGTTATCAGTGTTCTCTAGATGTTCATAGACTGTTGTTCAGTCTTTTTTCTGGGGATTAAAGTTAGATTTACGTGGTGAAAATAATCAGAATCACTTGTTTCCATTTTTTTTAAAGACAGAGTTCTTTCAGTATTTAAGGTACATGTATTTCTAATTGAGAGCATAAATGTTTTTTCCAGTAATTTATTTTATAATCCAAATTCTCATACTGAACATTTTTTTTTCTTTCAGAAACTATTTTGAGCTGTTCTGCTTTGCCTTTGCAAAAAATGTTTATGTACTTTCAGGGATATTTTCAGATTAAAATCTAAACACTTTTTAAAAAAAATGTGTGTAACATTTTTAGAGACTCCATGTGCTTCTGAAGCCCCTTGCTAATTTTGTGATTTTGTAATAATTTTTAAAAACAATCTGTCTCTCCCTTATTGCTGTGTGAAAGAACAGTAACAGAGAACACCCAGTACACAATTAGCTCCCTGGTTTATTGTGTATATCTAGTGCTGTAGAATACATAGCTTGATTTTCAGTGATGTTAATCCACCTATGGGTCCCACTGATTTCAGAGGGAGTGATGGGTGCACAATTCTTCCGAAAAACATGAACCAGAATAAATTGGAGAAGTGGAAGAGAGAGGCGTGTGATATTTTCCCCAAATCTCTTAGTTACAATAGATGTTACTTTTCATGCTAGTTGATAAAACATTTTCATATATAAGTATGATTTTTTTAAGAAAGAAAGATGAATTTTAAGAAATTTAGAACATTCCTGATGTGGTGGGGGTTTTTTTAACTGTCTTCTCAATTATATACAGCAATGTCTATAATAATTGGCCTTCTAATGATGTTAACATATGGTACAGCTCTGTACTTTAAACTATGCTAGTTCACTGATAGTGTTTCAGTGTTGGAAATGTTCTGTGCTAATATTAGAGCATGTAAGGGTAGTTTGTAGAGTAGTTAGGGTGATATTTGTTGTGAAGAATATTGTTGTTGAATGTGGTCATTTATTCTTATTTTCTTTTTGCTTGCAGGCCACTTGTATCCAAACACAAGGTAAGAAATTATGTTTTCTTTGTTGCTTTACCAATTGAAAATCTGAGTGAAGGTATTCTTTAGCATGCTTAGACATACTTTTTATAGAGGTTGTTCGGTAATTGTGTACCTTATAGACTTCTCAAATAATTCCAGTGTCTGAATTTAAAATGAACAGTTACATGTAAGTGCTATCCTGTTTTACAGGTAGTAACTACTGAAAAGTCATTGGGAGGCAATCGTTTTGTACAATTAATGGTATCAGAAGATTTAAAGGAAAAAGAGGCTGCTGCTTGTGATTCAGGTACATCTTGTGTACATATTTTTAAATTTACTCCTGTTAACAGTGTGCAACTCCTGTGTTTGGGGTTGCAGCCCATGAGCTAGATTCCAACAAGAGCAAAAATTAGAGGGCAAATGTTAATTTTTCACAGAATATAATAAAGTATTTGCACAGCATCAATAATGAATAGTTCTAAGAAGGCAATGGTGTTCATAATACTAATGACTGAATTAAAATGTCTGAATTTTTTGTATTATATCAGTTCATATAACACACAAAAGGCTATTCTTAATAAATAAAATGTCATGCTTCCAGGAAAATTCCAGTCATCCTCCAATATATAAAATGCCAGGTCAGGCTAGACAAAGATCTTTATAAATATTCTAAGTTGTGGCCATTCATTATTTAAATGATCCATATTTTCATCTGGTATGCAATGTAATAATCCTGTGTAAAGCTGCATTTTCCATACCAATAAAGAAAAACTGAGTAATGCATATTTTGGGTTCTCAATATTAACATTAATATTCAAGATGATAACTGAAAGTGTGTCTCAGCTTCCCTTCCCCTTTCTGCAAGAACACATTAGTGATGTGTTTGAGGATAGCCTGCACAGTGTAGTTGCATGGGAATGGAGAAGTAAGATAGTTTTTAAGCTATTTAACCTTGGTACATCAAGATTTTGCATGTTCCAGCGACAGATGACGAGAGTTAAAGAAGTCTAAATTCAGTGCTTTTTTTTCCCTCTCCAGGGGTATTTGTAATCACACAGGAAATGGGGGAGGGGAGTTCAGCCTGTAGGAGGTGTTGGTGGCATTGGACCACTATTTCTCCACACACTACAGAACTCTTGTCCTTTCCATTCCACACTCCTTACTATCATTACCACCACCACCACCATCACGTATTCTGTTGTCTTTCTGTCTGGTTCTTTTATAGTGCATCCACTACTCTGGTATCTAGGCTCATTCACAAGGCTGAAGAACATGCTGTCAGCTATTCTGATTTCTATCTTGAGTTTTTAAATGTTTGATATATTTCTTAAACCCGAGTTTCTGCGTTTCCAGCTACCTTATTTTTTTTAAAGTAAGTTTATAGCCCTTATGGTCACAAAGAAAAACTTAAAAATTAGGAAGTGACTGAAACCTGCAGGTTCAAAAACCAGAAGAAAAATCGAAAACACAAAATGTATAATTTTTATTGCTGATTGGAAAACAGATTTTTTTTTCTCTGAAGCAGAACATAAGGCAAAAATTTCCAGCAGAACAGAAATTCTGAAAAATTTCAGTTCAGGCACCTCAAAATATTTTGTTTTGATCATGTCAGAACTTTATAATGTAAAATATAAAATACTTGTATATTAAAATTTATAATATAAAAATAAAAATGAATACAACTTTCTTCCTTCTGAAGTTTTGTGAACATGTACATGTTGTCTCAGAAATATTTACATTATGACAAATTTATGTTTTCCAATGGAAAACTGTAGTTTCTGGTTCAATAGCACTACGTACCATCAAAAAAATTCCAGCTAAGCTCTGATTGCTTAAAAATCTCATGATTTTTGGGGGAACCTAACTAATGATTTCTGATTGCTCAGGTTGGTTATACTGTGAAGAGTGGTTACGTAACCTCCTGCACCTTTTCCTGCAGGCTGACACTTTCTTTGGGAAGCAATAGACTTGTGTCTATGGCGTTCACACTGGCAGATCTCTTTAGGAGGGTGGCTTTTAATAAAACTCTATCTTGATCAGCTATTACTACTTCTCACAATCCAGGTATGTGAGCAGCAGGGGGCATACAATTTGTCTGACCTGCTAGTTGGCTGTTTTCACTCACTTGCTTTTAAAGGCAAGAAAGTGACTATGATAGCAAGGAAGGGGAAGGCAAAATCCAAAGGGTTTGAAGAGGGCCTTATTGAGAATATAAATAGCCAAATTAAGAGGTTGCCTACATGGAGAAAAGGCCCAGAATAGCTTTTGTAAAACAGTGTGCCATGGGGCCATTCGAGATTAAGGTAAATTGTGTGGAATTAGTGTGTCCACATGAGAATATATTGTGAAATAGCAATTCTACAATAGCTGTTATGGGCCATTTCCCAAGTAGACAAATGAATTTTGTCATTTATAAACCCATTAAGGTCCTTTTCCAAAGTGGTTAAGCAAAACAGTACAAAGGCACTCTTGGGCTCTTTTATCACGTCCAGTGGCATGTTGAGTACATATACTGCATGTGCCCCTAGCATGGGTATAAATAGAAGTGTAGATGGTGAGGAATGGATTAGGCAAGTAGACACATCAGAACCTTAGGATGTGCACCCTATAGACTGCACCCTATAGACTGCTTTCTATAGGTTTGTCTAGACTACATGGCTCCGTTAATGGAGCCATGTAGATGAGTTTACTAGACATAGGAAAATGAAATGGCGATTTAAATAAATAATAATTTCACAAGGCATACCGGAGTGGTTGACAAAGGCTTCCCTTGTCGACCGCGGCACGTCCAGACTGCCCTGCTGTGATGCCAAACAGCTGATCTGCACAGCGTGGTGGCCATTTTGATGTAAATGAAGCGGCGATTATTTAAATCGCCGCTTCATTTTCCTATGTCTAGTAAACTCATCTACATGGCTCCGTCGACGGAGCCATGTAGTCTAGACCTACCCTAAGTGTCCAAGCGGTGCCTTCTTGATTTACATGTTTACAAGTAAAGGCTCTAACGATAGGGAACCGCTGAAGCCTTTTCCCCTCTATGTCCCCAGCCTCTGGCGTCTTTTGCAGCCACGTGTTGCTATCCACCATAATATGTATGCAGCTTCCTTTTCACTCTAGTTATATGTACCATACTTGCCACTGCCCGTGTACACAAGGCTTTCATGTGGAATAAGAGTATCCACATGAGGAGAGATTGCAAAATAGCTTATTGTGCTTTATCAGACCTAAGCTTATTTTTCAATAGCTTCTGCTTCTAGATAAGTCCTAAGACTCCCATTTATCTACTGTGTATAGAATGGGGGAGTGGCAGGAGCATGTGGGTTTTGTCTGTGTATGTATATTAAATAATTACGTACTGAGGCACAAAATGTATACTGTGGTAGCATCCTGGAAAGAAAATGACACTACTTCATTAATCTCAAGCCGACTTGGCTTGATTCATCTATTGCATGCACAAGGGAATATAGCTTGTGCCTTTGAAGACATCTGTCTCCAAGGAGGAGTTGTCATAATTATGGGTGGGTGAAGGAGAAATTGATTGATTATACATATACTTTTCCCAAAATAAAAAAAAAATAAAAAAAAGACTAATTCTGGGCTCTCCCCCTTGAGATTCTTCCCAGGAAAGCAGCTTTTTTAAGAACCCAATTGCCAGAGGTTGGTAGGAGATGCATAGACTCACCGGCTGCGTCTAGACTGGCAGCTGCTTTTGCGGAAAAACTTGCCAGCTATCTACACTGGCCACTTGAATTTCCGTAAGAATACTGACGATCTCATGTAAGATTGTCAGTGTTCTTGTGGAAATACTATGCTGCTCCCATTCGGGCAAAAGTCCTCTTGCGCAAATGCTTTTGCGCAAGAGGGCCAGCGTAGACAACGTGGCATTGTTTTGTGAAAAAAGCCCCGATCGCGAAAATGGCGATCGGGGCTTTCTTGCGCAAAACCGCGTCTAGATTGGCATGGATGCTTTTCCGCAAAAAATGCTTTTGTGGAAAAGCGTCCATGCCAAAGTGCTTTTGCAGAAAAGCATTCGTGCCAATCTAGACACTCTTTTCCGCAAATGCTTTTAACGGAAAATTTTTTCCGTTAAAAGCATTTGCGGAAAATCATGCCAGTCTAGACGTAGCCACCTATTTTACAACCTGTGCTGCTGTAATCACTTCCTCTCAGGGTGCTGGAGCTTATTTTCTGCCAGCTGGATGGTTCAAGGCCTTGAAATCTTTTTATTGCTCTTAAAATAGAGTTGGAGCACATACTATATGTGTATGGATTCATTCTTTCAGTAACTGTCTGAAAGTCTTTATTCCTTCCTGTTATAACTTGAGATGGCCAAAACCCTGCATATTTGTCTTGAATTAAATAATTAATGTAGTAAAATATTTTACAAACCATCCAGTTTGCATTCTCAGCCTCTGGAGAAACTATGGAACTCCCAAATTCTTTTAGGCCTTATTAGGTTCAATCCCAAACGGAAACAATCTGTTCAGGCGATCAGCTGACAGATTGTCACAGGAAATCACTCCTGGGTCTCTTATATTTCAAAATTATAGAGTCATTGTATATTATAAAATCATGACTGGTGTGGAGAAAGTGAATATAAGGGAAAGTAATTTACTTGTTCCTGTAACATAAAAACTAGAAAAAAACAACAAATGGTCTTGTAGCGCTTTTTAGACTAACAAAACACGTAGATGGTATCATGAGTTTTCATGGGCACGAAAGCTCATGATACCATCTACATGTTTTTTTTAGTCTATAAAGTGCTACCAGACCATTTGTTGTTTTTTTCTGTAATAAATTAACTCGGCTACCCCCTGAAGCTCATAAAAACTAGAGGTCAACAAATGAAATTAATAGTTAGCAGGTTTAAAACAATCAAAAGAAAGTGTTTCTTCATGCAATGCACAGTCAACCCGTGGAACTCTTTGCCAGATGATGTTGTGAAGAGAAGGATTGTAACATGATTCAAAAAAGAGCTAGATAAATTCATGGAGGTTAGGTCCATCAGTGCTTATTAGCCAGGATGGGTAGGAATGATGTCTCTAGCCTCTGTCAAGAAGCTGGGAATAAATGACGGGGAGGGAATCACTTGATTACCCGTTCTGTTTGTTCCTTCTAGGTACCTGGAATTGGCCACTGTTGGAAGACAGGATACTGGGCTAGATGGACCTTTAGTCTGACCCAGTATGGCTGTTCTCATGTTCTCGCAGGCATTTCTTTCTTTCTTATGAACTTAATACTATTTTTCTAGACTGAGCTTTTTGTTTCCTTAAGTGAATTTAGTTCTAATTTTTTGTTATTTTTGGATGCCTCTGGTTTTGGGCATCTGACATGACACCTTTAAAGGAACTTGATTTTTAGAGAGCAGGTTCTCATCACTTCTGAAAATCAACCACTCAAAACCACTACTCACTGCTGAAAATGTATGCCTGAGTAGCCCTAAAAAGACTGACAACACTGGACTTTGAAGTTTTCCAACTCTAGTAGAGTTACAGCATACCCAGAACAGTGTAAGCTTCCCCACTGACATATCTCTGTGTTTCGACCCTGACCTCAAAAGGCTGTCTTGCATGATAAAAAGGCTGATTTAATTTCCATGTCCATTTAATCTTTGGTGGTCTTATTTGCCAATAAAAGTGTCTGTTTTAATGTGGACATATCAACTGAGGAAAAATTGACAGATGGTAACAAAATCCTGCTGCTGACAATCTGGGCTCTATTTGAACCGATGACCTCTATGTGAACGGCTCAGTATCACATTACAGCCCCTCAGCTGTCTTGTCCTTTGTGCTTAATTTTCAAAACTGTGTCTCTTTCATACCCATTTCTTCTTTCCTTATCCTCTATAAGTTAGCTTCTGGGCATCCCTTCTGTTAATGTCCACAAGCTGCATAGTCTTCCATAACATTTCTAACCTTACTTTTCATGTTTCTCTAGTATTTCATTAACTTTTAAAATATGAGAATTATCAGCAAATATAATCTTTACTTACCTTAAGACAATGCAACTCAACACTGTTTTAAATGTATTTGAAAGCTGAGTAAAAGTGGCAGTACTCTGATACAGCACAGATGTACTGAAGAGTTCAGGTTTGAGGCAAAGTCCATAGCTAGGGTGTATTCACATTGAAAGACATCACAATCTTGTGACACTTCTGCAGAAAATGGTTGAAATTTCTGGGGCCACTTAATCTCTGGAGGTGACTTCCATCAATCTGATCCATAAATGCTTCTGGTTTTGGCTCTGAACTAAAATTTCAATTAAACAGATTTTGAGTTAAGAATGTGGTGTGCATTATTGTTACAATATCTTCTGTAATACAGAATCTATGGTGCTATGTCGCTCTGTATAAACATGTAATAAGTCTGGTGAACAGAGATTGATTTATCTTTTGGATCTTCAGTCTCTCCCTTTACCTTTCCCCAAAACTGGGGACAGTGGGGAAAAGAGACTTGGATTTGAGTTTCCAGTTAAGGTCCATTGTGACTAAAATTATTAGAAACTCAGACTAGCGTTTTGGTCTTCTGCTACAACATAAACATATTGTATTGACACTGAATGTACAATTTCTTAAATTTCTGTTAGAAATAAATTATTAATGAATTATAAGTTCTTTAATCTGCTCATAAATAATTTACCAATTTATCCTAACCGAAAATGAGTGTAGCTCAAAGCTTTTTTGAAAATATATGTGTATTATTGTTCTCACTTCCCTCCAAATTAAAGTTCCATAACAGCTCAATAAACAAAACATTAAAAATATCTGTGACCAAACATAAGATAAATCTAAATTGTATTTGTGTTTTGCATATATAATCCATATTGGCTATTCATATAGAAGTCCATAAAAGCCATTTATAACTGTGTAATTTATCAACTATGAACACTGTAATCAAATATTTTACTTTGCATTCATTGAAGAAAATAGTAAAATATTAAGGGAAAAGGACTACATCGAAAATTTGTTAAATTCTTGCAATGTTGGGCTTTTTTTTTCAAATGCACCTACATATCTCAGTGAAGAATAAGTAACAGTAATAGTAATATATGTAAGTTATCTATTGCAATGGAACCAGGAAAACATTTTCTTCTGTGATTATGACCTCATATGCATCTTCCTTCCACACCCTTCCTTCTAGAAATCTTGGAATGATCTACATGTAGTTAGTTGCATGAAATATGTTTGAGGGGGGGAAATTAGGCCCTTATTCCTTGAAACACGTAAGAACTTGCTTCACATTCAGCATGTGAATAAACCCATCCATTTTCAGCAAGTCACTTAAGCATGTTTTTTTACCTTTAAATATGCAGTTCGGTGCTTTGCTGAATTGGGGTTTTTATATTTAGTTTATTCTGAGTATTTTGTGCTTTCTATTAACTGCAGCAGCACTGTCTGCATTAGAGAGGACTTTATTCTGAAGCATGTATATGCAGAGTTATCAAGTCATAGCATACTCTTTCTATACACTTCAATGTTCTGAATCATTTTAAAATGCTGGAACTGTCTTCCTGTTGCATTTAGATACTGAAACTTGGCCTGGCATTGCACCAAGAAAAGAAAACAAGCACAGAGAGAGACAGATGAGTGAGAGCTCCCTGTGTGATAGTAAAACTGATAGGCTTACGGAAACAGCAAGTTTTCAAGTAGCTGCAGGGAAGGACCACATGGAGGAGCAGCACTGCAGTGCTGAATCAACACTGGAGCCACACACCCAGTCCACAGAGACAGTCGGCAGGCCTTGTTCTGAATGTTTATCATCTGGGGATGCTGGTAAAGATAACAGTTTGCAGCTGACAGAGAAGCAGTTCTCTAAGGATGTAGCAAAAATAGAAGACGTGGCTAAAGAACCTGGAGTGGAACTCTCTTGTGAGCCAATGGTAGACATCTTTGTTGTAACGGATGCTGATTTGGTTTCTAAAGATGAAAATGTACAAGCAGAAAGAAATGTTCTCAGGTCAAAACACCATACAGGCTCTACTGAGACTACCAGAAGCCAGCTTGGAAATAATCCATTTAGCCAACAGCAGCAGAATCCTAGTTCAGGAGAGGAGGATGGAAAATCCCCACAGGACAGAGCTGCATCAAACATTTGTGAAAACATGTGTTATGGAAATAACAAAGTATCTGAACATATCAATTCTGCACATCCAGAAATATGCAAGGGGCTGCAAGACATGCCAAGGCAACAGGAGAAGGAGATAAATAATGAAGAACCAGAAGATTTTTTTGGCAGATTCTTAAATGGTAGCATAAAAGACACTGAAGAATCCCTTGCAATCTTAGAAAACCAAGAGGACTCTGAAACTCTTCCAGATACTCCACTGGAGCAAGCATCACACAGCTCAACAGAGGCTTTATTTTTAGATGACAGCTTTTCTTCACTCGATGAACTTGCAAAAAGGATAGAGATTGCCGAGGTAAACACTGGGAAAACTATAAAAACTAAAGTTTTAATTGAATTTATTGTAGTCTTAGAAATTGGTGCTTTCTTTAAAATTGATGTTAAATATATGTTCCTGCACATCACTTCCTTATTTTTAGTGTAAAAAGAAAACTAAATTATTTGTTCTAGTCTTCCTATGAATTGATTTGCAGCCTCATTCCCCCGTCCTCCCCCAAAAGGTGCTGTGAGCATCCACAGTTTCCACAGAAACCATCTTCGGTTGTGGGTTCAGCACTTCTGAAAATTAGACTTTTACTCTGTGTCAGCATAAAATATCCTTACCATTATTATTTTATATACAGACACTGCTATTAGGAGCACTGAAAAATCATATTTTTTTCTTTGTAAATGTATGCAAATTTCATGTATGCATGTGTGATATACATTTTCTTCCTGTGAGTGTTAGTTATTCTTATTCACTGATAGAGTAAAATTTGTTTTTCACTGCCCATTCACATAGATGAGTAATGGAGAGGAGAATTACCTATATAATATACTCTTTAATACTTTTTATACATCTCTATATGTTTTTTTTTAAATGGCAAAATATATTCCCATTCCCATATTCCCAAACAGAAGGAGGGTAACTTATCAAACAAGAGCAAGAAAAAAAGACAGGAAGAAATCTTCCCTGACACATTTTATGTATATACTTATAATTTTCTTAACCTCTGTCAGTTTTGTTGAAATAAAAGTAATTAGGAACCTCAGGGCTTGGTCAGTAGAACCATTGTTGCTGTACTTGTGTTGCCCATAAGGAGAATCAGCAATTCTAAATATCAAAAGCTCTTTTTACATTTTTAAAAATAAAAGGCAAAATCCCATCCTTATGTATCTGCCAGGTGAAAGGCCTGGGAAATCATGTAGTATTGGCCTCCCTAAATATTCAAAAATCATGAGTCAGGCCTCCAAAATCATGAGATGTTTAAAATAATGCACTTTTGAGGGTTCTTTTTGTCTGTCTGTTTTTTCAGCCTTAAGAGTATACTTAGCTCATGTTTTCATGCTTTTGCCTACAATCATGAAGGCTAGAAACATTTTTTTAATGAAAGCTGACTTCCTCACATAACCATGAGAGTCCAATAGCAGAGGTTTTAAAAAAGGCCTGCATTACTATAGTATCTGAGTGTCTAAGACTCTTTAAAGAGTAAGAAAGTGCTATAAACTTCATTTTACAGATGAGAAACATAGGCACATAGAGACTAAAAGACCATAGCCACACAGGAAGTTAATTGCAGACCACAGAATTGAATGCTGGTCTCCATAATCCAGGGTAGTGCCCTAACCACTAGATTATCTGTCCTCTCTGGTGTGATATGCATGATAAAATCACAAGAGTTGCCAGTAAACTGTTTGGCCCAAAGATCTCCTTATTGCTGCTCCATGGTTGAGCACACTGCACTTCCCCAGTGCCTCCTGCACTTGGTACCAGGGAAGTGCACTTGGTACAGTAAAACTCCATTAGTCCAGCATCCAATGCTCCGGGACTCCTGATGGTCCGGCACCATCAGGAACCCGGAAGTGCTGGGGCAGCCGGACAGGCTTCCCCCATTCAGCTGCTGCTGAAACTGACCAGCAGCTGAATCGGGGAAGCCGGGAGCACAGCAGCTGGGGTGTTGCCGGGTTGGTGGGAGGGGATCCCACCCCAGACCCTTCATAGCCCCCCCTTACAATAGTCTGGCTCTGCCCCAGGCGTCCCTGATTCAGCTGCTGCTGGTCAGTTTCAGCAGCAGCTGAATCGGGGATGCCTGCAATAGAGCAGCTGGAGTGCTGCCGGGTTGGTCCCGCAGCGCTGAGAGGCGGCGCTACGGCACCAACCCAGCCGCACTCCAGCTG